AAGACGGATTTCCGTCTAGGTTGCCAACCTAGACGGATTTCTTACTTCCGTCTAGGTTGATCAATCTAGACGGAACTCCGTCTAGTTTGACCCAATCTAGATAAATTTAAAATAAATGGACCTAATTAGACGGAATTCCGTCTAGGTGAACCAACCTAGACGGAATTTGGAGCAACCTAGACAGAAATTTCCTTCTAAGTTGTTCATTTTTCTACTAGTGAGAATCACATTGTATTACACTTGTACACCGAGAGGAGTGTGTGGTGAGAGACGGGGTCGATTCCAAGAGGAGTGGGGTCGGTGGTAAAGCCTCGAGAGAGGTGGTAATTCTGAACACTTGACTAAGGGACACGGGCTAGGCCAATACTTAGAGAGTGTAGAGTATGATTGTAAGAGTGTGAGTTATAAAAGTTTTCGGTGAGCTAGAAAACCAAAAATGTGTGGAGTTGTAAACGTTTTGGGTGAACGTTAAAAACCCGATTGTGATAGTTAATTCTCCCCGGGAGTGGGGAGTGGAGACGTATGTCGGAAGGACCGAACTCTGTGATTATTTTCTTGTGTTTGCATTGCTATTTTGTCCACTATCTTGTTTATATCGTTTCATGTTTATTTGCCATTTATTACATATCCTTGCATATATCTTGTTGAATATCATACTTGCTAGGATAATTTGTTAATAAGATTTTTAATTAGTATTAAATCTGATTAAATTAGCATATTACCCTATTCACCACCCTCTAGTATAATTTCATTTTGTATCAGAGTTTGGTGCTCTTTGATTTATGGCTCAACCTCCTTGAGTTAAAGATCCTTGTTCTTATATTTTTGCTAATCTAATTTTGATGATTTTTTATCTTGCTTGCATATATATATATATATATATATTCATGGATATGCACGGTGCAAATAGCTTAGTTATGCTACTAATGTTGCTCCTAGATTAGATGGTTTCCCCTATGCCCAATGGTGTGTTAGATTTACACTCTCAAGTCGATACTAGACACTTCGATTTATGGGAAATTATCGACTGTGCTTATATTGTGCCCACGTTGGAGAAATCCAAGTGGATCAATCATGATAAGAAAATGTTTACAATGAATAAGCTCTTGTTAGAATTTTTTCTTAACACTTTTGACTCATTGTTTTCTAACAAGCTTGATTCATTTGATAGTGCTTACATATTATGGAAATTCATAGAAGCGCATCAAGGAGGCTTGGAGGAGATTCGACGAGCTTTGACGGAATCAACTTCAAGTAAGGTTAGATTATCATCATCATGCATACGACCACTAGGTGATAGCCCTTGTTTGGTAAGCGAGTCCAATTCCGATGATGAACTATTTATTAAAGAACTCGCATGTGCATATGATAGGTTAATGCATGCCTACACTAAGTTGCCTAATAATTTTGTTAGCTTGAAAAGCAAGCATATAGAATTAAAATCCGATCATGAGACACTAGTCTAAATTTGATATCATTGCAAATGAAAATGTAAATCTTAAAGAAAGCAATAAAAAATTAAAATTTGAAAATGCTAGTTTGTTTCATGAGAAAAATAATGCCATATTAGAAGTAGAGAACATAAAAAACAAAGTTAGTTCTTTTGCTAACATTTATATATGTTCTACTTCTAATAACAATGTATTTGTGCAAAATGATAAGTTGAATCATGTTAAGGATCATATATCTACCTTAGATTCAACCCTTAAAACATGCATTATTGTAAAACCCCGTAAATTTGAATATTTTATGATAAATATGTTATATAGTAAAAAATAATATATTTTGATATTTGAATATGATAAGAATTGATTTGAGATCAATTCAATGTATATTTGTGAAAAAATAATATATTTTGATATTTGAATATGATAAGAATTGATTTGAGATCAATTCAATGTATATTTGTGAAAATATGAGTGCAAATGCACATTCAATGTATATTTGTGAAAATATGAGTGCAAATGCACAAAACATGCACAAAGGCCAAAAGAGTGAAACTGGGAATAAGGATCAGTTATAAGTTTTTAAGATTTTCATACCTATACAGTTAGAATTTGGAAAAGTGTAAAAGACCAAAGTTGTAGGTCTCTTCAACAAATTTCCAACAAGTCTTAGATCACCTTATTCCGAGGTTGGATGAGAAAGTTATAGCCAAAATACAGAAGGTTATTTTTCTAGTCAGACTAGGTTTCCTGGTTCGGGTCTAACAGGTTTGTTTCGGGTTTGACTCTATAAATACCTATATTTTTTACAAAAATTCCTTTCTTTTATCATATCTAAGAACCCTAACAGTCACCAAACCCCCATAAACCCTATTTTGAATTTTTGGAGAAGATTGTAGGCTTTCAAGTTGGGTTTTTGTTGATTTTTGACTTTTGGAGTAGAGATCTCTTTCGATGTTGCTTCTAACAAGTTTTCCTACAACCCTAGTCAAGTATCATCTCTACTAATCCCCCTCCCAGTTTTTAAAATGTATTTAAAGAGATTTTAATATGTTTTGTAGAGCCAAAATGAATAGATTATGTATAAAAGACAATTTCTTTTGTATTATATGTATAAAGATTAAGTCTTTCCATGCTAAAAAGGTTGAGAATATTTTTACAGATGTGATTAAGATCTGATGATGATTTTTAAACATGGTTAATCTAAAGAAAAAAGTTTAATTTGTTGTTTTGAGCTTTTATGCATATTTTAGGGTTTTGAATACAAATCTAATGCATAAAATCATGTTTATTGTTGTTGAGTTATTTTCTGATGTTCATATCTACTGTAGCATGTTTCCATACAAGTTTTATGAAGTTTTAATCATGTTTGAATCATAAAAACACGACAAGAACACGACATATACAAAGAAAATGAGAATCTGGAAATATGGTTCACGGTCGACCGTCACGATCGACCGCGTGCAGGACAGAGACCTGGGTAGTCTCTGGAGGCCGTCGCGGTCGACCGGCATGGTTGACAGGTTGACCGCCAGTCTGTTTTAGGCTGTGCATGTTTTTAAAGGTTGTATTTGATTTGTCGATCAAATTTCTCGATCTTGTGATGATAGACTACGATGTTATTTGACTGTTAAACACTTGGGATGATGGTGAATTTCAGAGGTGGACACGTACACCGAGATTTGTGTATGTATGTTAGATTGTGTTAGAATTACACACTTCCGACATGAGTTAATTTGATAAACACATATGAATAATGTTATTCTATACGTATCCGGAAATAGGAAGATGAAACCTATTTACCGCAGAACGATTGAGTAAGAGTATTACAATAGTATCGTTGTTGCATGTATCCGGAATAGGAGAATAATAATCCTATTGCCGCAGAGCGATTGAGTAATAAGCATTACAAAAGTATCGCTATAGCACAAGATGATGTACATATAAATAATTATTTAGCTCTAAGCTTCACTTCCATGATAGATTACCCGCGAGTAGGGTATTTCCTTTGAGATTTTGATGTACCCGTTATGAACGGTAGATATATTTTGTTTTAGCAATTGTTGATATCCTCTTATTATAGAGCAGGTCACTCGGACGTAGTTCGAGATGAGATGGTTTTTTCTTTGTGTGGGAGATTGGGGTATTTATAATTGATTAATTGCTTTTCATTCATAGAGAGTAATATGAATGATTTGATATATGTATGTACTGACTTTATTTTCTTATATATTCCTACCCCTTCCCCTAGGGAGAGGTAGTGATGATCACGCTAGCGCTTTAACGCTCGTTGTTTTTCCCCCCTTTTCAGGCAGCGAGTCAGGCGCACGGAGAGTCGTAAGTTGATGGGACATTTTAGTTGTCCGTTTAGCTATTTATTATATTTTATAGTTATCGTAGAACTCCACATGCAGTTGATTATTTTCAGACTACAGATTAGTATTTTATTTCATAGAGTTGAGAGCTATTGTAAGACTTCGTTTTTTTTTGACTCATTGTATTTAAGATTTAGTTCAGACTCAGAGATATGTCTATTTTATTCCAGCTGGGCTCATCATTGATATTCTTATGCTTCTTCTTTGTTTATCCCGTGTTGTTCTGTTTCTATTTTTGCCTGTCTGTACCTTCACCTATTTATTATTTCTACTAGAGAGATGGTGAAACTTGTCATAGCATGGTGGTTGGTGCTTGGCAGGTTTGACAATCCGGGTTTCACCTGGGACTGCAGCCTTGTGTGAACCCTGGGGCGTCACAGTTGGTATCAGAGCTCTAGTTCTAATATCCTTAGGATCATCCCTGTGTCATATCGTGGAGTTAGGATAGAGTTTCCTAGGGATCATGTATACAGTCCGCTAGGAATCCCTAGTATGAGTGAGGGCGTATTATATATTTATGTACGCGAAAAATCTACAAATTTTTTTTATGAACTATTTGCTTGACTAATTAAGCATGACATGAAATATAAGTGATACGATTTACTTATTGGTATATGTTATATGCT